GCTACATCTTGGAGGACAGGAAAGTTTACCAAGCAAAGGAAGGGAGGCTTTCTTTAGAGGCTGTGAAACCATTACAAAAACATACACCTGAGATGGTGACTAGTACAGCTTAGTGACTAAAATATACGTAATCTCATTATCCTCAGTAACTCCCACAGAAGCTGGCACATAATGTTTAGTAAATATTTGTTGAATGAATGAATGAATGAATGAATGAATGAATGAATGAATAAGAGGTAGAAGATGAACTGAGAGGTTCCTGAACACCTAAAAATCTCACGTGGGGGAGAGACGGGGCAACTGACAGTGATTACCAATCAGAAGAATATCTTGAACTGAAAACACTTATCATATCAATCTGAAACTTTTCACCTAGGAAATTAATCTTAGTTTATTGAGTTAAAGAAATCACTTCAAAAAAGTCTTGTGCCTAGGATGAAAGCTAAACTGTTTGCTGTACATACTGTAATTACAGCAGCCAGACTGCTTCTGGGAGCTACTTTAAATTAATAAAACTCAGGATGAAGACTCATGCTATCCTGTGATTTGCTTTTCTGGGACATTTTTGGGGATGCACAAGAGACAGGGCAGTTGAGTAAAAAATGCCCAAGCTCAGTGTCACTGCAAGCACAGTCCCAAGGGTGCTGGCCCTGTCAACCCAGAGAGTGTTCCTTAGTAGCACATGATGGTACATCACAGCTTTTTTCCAAACTGACAACTGGATTTCTTCACAGAAGGCACACACATTCAAAACCCTTGGGAAGAGTGAGAAAAAGCCTTTAGAATTATTTTTCTTGCCTAGGTGTTAACATTGCTATAGTAATCACATTTGACTAAAAAAAAAAAGTCATCTGCACAATACCCCTTCCTCCCCCAAAGAACCTACACTTCCACAGATAGGAGAGCTCCTGGAGGCAGTTTTATTTATGCCTTACACTTAGCTCAAGGTCTCTGTACACAGTATATGATAAAAATCTTACCTGTTAAATAATCATACAGAATATAGTATTCTTTAGCAAGCTAAATTTTCCATAAAACTTTTCTATACAAAAAAAAACAAAACTGTATTTGTTTCCTTTCAAATTTGTGTTCCTCTTACCACCTTGTCAAAAACAAATACAAAAATATTTTTAAAGATCTTAATCAATAGCTTCAAAATTCTAGAGGTTGACATTTGAGTCTAGTGTACCATTTCTCCTCCCAAGTAAACTATTTAAAGTAGACTCCAACATTCTCTTGAAGAAGATGAGAATTACTAAAATATTTAAAGTAGTGGATTAGATTTCTGTTCTAGAAAACTAATTCGAGCAGCAAGAAATACATTTTAAAGTTCCAGCAAGAGAATCCATTAACTTTCAGGTTTTCTTTTTTCCAATAATTTAACTTCCATACTCTTTCTACCTTTTTCTCCACAACCTGGAGAATTCCTGGTTAAATCTTTAAGATTCAGCACAAGCTTAACCTAAGGCTTTCTGGCACCAATCACTCTTTTGAGTAGGCAATGAATCGAAGCCTCTTAGATATCTTTTTATACACTTACTATAATTTCTTTATAGGTCTCCCTCACTAGACCAGTACTACCTGTTTTATTAGTTTTTATAGCTCAGCATCACACAGTGATGACCCACAGAAGGATTTCTAAATGAATCTATCTGAAAAATTGGCATATCTTCTAGTATTATAGTTGAAATGATCCAAAATAAGGAGAATATAATGAACTCCTTTGCAGGGGAAATAATACTACACTAAATATGAATGTGAATGTCTCTGTAACCCGAAGCTACTTTACAGAATACTTTCATGGGTGGCTAGGGTGAGTGAATAGAACCCCAAAATAAATGTAATTCTCTTTTTGTGATTTAAAATTTTTTTTAACACCTACAGCACCTTATATTCCTAGATGGTCTCCCATCCAAGTAATAAGCAGGCCCGACCGTGCTTAGCTTCTGAGATCAGATGAGATTGGCACATTCAGGGTGGCATGGCTGTAGACTCTTCTTGCAATTTTAAATTGTTTTGGATAATTTGGCTTGCTCAATAATATTTTGTTTGTTGAATATACTATTCAACAGTCTTACTGAGAACTCTTTGCAGTTTTCCTAAATGCATTACTTTATCTCAGGCCTTCAGCCTTTTGCAGTGCTAATCCCACCACCCAGAATGTCCTATAGCCATCCGCCCCTACCACACATCATCACACATACCCAGAGACAACTTCTCCAACTTGTCCTTCAAAACACAATCTTTCCGTGAACTGTCCCAGTTACTTCCACCTTCTGAGGCTGCCAGGTGCCATTTGTCTTCCTATAGCACCAAAATACATCCTAAATTAAAAACTAAATTTTTAGATCATTTGTGGGAATAAGCATTAAAGATCATCGAGAATTTATTATTCATAAAAGACTATTCTCCGTACTCTGCAAATACAAAATACACATTTTTCTTAAGGTCAGGGACTTCTTACACGTCTTTGCAATCCCCCTCCCACCTGAACTCTGGCCCCTTCCCAAAAGGCTATGCCAAGATTTTAGCTAAAAAAATCACTCTATTTATTAATCAAAAGTAACTACACTAAGGCCAATACTCTATCAAAGCTTTCATTTTCATTATTTAACTTATATCAACTTTTACCCATCTTGTTCAAACTAACTTCAAGTCATCTTTGCAATCTCCACATTAGATGTCCTTCCTTTACGCTTCCTAAGCAATTGTGCACAGAATTCTGTCAAGGTCCAAACCATACTGTCTGGAAAGTTCTGTTTCTCACTCCCACTAGGCCTCTCAAACTCCTCAAAGGCAGGCACGTGTCCTATGCATTTCTGTCCCTAAGCAGGCACAATACTTGGGTTCATTATCTTTCTGCTAAAGGGTATCAACTCTGGGCATTATTTAATGTTAACAGTCCTTACAGTTGTTCTGACAGAACATCATTTTAAAGTCGTGATTTATTTCAGAGCCACAATAAAATACTGATATATATCCAAATACTGTATACCAGATTCTAGTAGAATCAAGCAACAGGTTTAAGGAGAAATTCTACCTAAGACCCTCACAATTCAACTTTACAAGCAGCTATCTCTACCTATCTTGTAGAACACCAGTGTTACAGAGGGACATGGAGGAGTGCTGAATCTGAGGTTTTTACTGATTCTAGGCATATTCTGGAAAAATACAGGAAACCTAGGTCTGAGGTGCCCTCAAGGTTCTGTATAACATTTCAAATTCATGTATGTCAAAGCTGGTTCCTCTTCTGACATTCACATTCATTCCATTCTTAATTCTATTCCAGTCTCAAAAAGTCATACATTTGTACCCTTGTCCCCAATTGGGCCAAGTTCTGTGAGGGTCATTCTTTTCTATCTCTACAGTCACCACTATAGAACTGGCCCTTATATTTCTACCTGTACTAGCCGAATGTTCTAACTGGATTCTCTGTTTCCAGCTTTTCCTCTGTGTAACCCATTAGTCACAATGCTACCAAATTACCTTTTAAATCAATAGTTCAAAAAGTTAGATGATTTTGTCACCTTCTCTCTCCCTGGACACTGGCAATATCTGGACACATTTTCAGCTGTCACAACTGGGGTGGGGATGTGCCTAAAATCTAGTAGGTTGAAGCCAGGGATGTTGTTAAACATCCTACAATACACAGGACAGCCCCTCCTCCCACAACAAGTAATGAGCTGGCCATACATCACCTTGTTATATGGGCCAGTCATTTAAATTCTTAATGTCAGTTTCCTCATTGGTAAAATGGGGTTAAAATATCAACTTTAAAGGGCTGTCAGGAGGATTAACTGAGCCGCTGTATAGAGAAGACCCAACACAGTGCCTACTACTGAGTACTTACACACATTTTTTAAAAATTGCTGTTACTTTTGTCTTTTTTCCTCAAAAAGAATTATTCTCACAGTCAAAAGGCCAGAATGGACACTGATAATGGGAACAGAAGCTCACGAGAAGAGGATTTAAAATAAACACCTATGAGGTGTTTTTCTGGGCCTGGATGAACTATGTTAATAACACAAGCAAGCAAGGTCAATGAACCACAGTTATATCAAGTGCTCTTGAGCCTGGAAAAGATGTCAGCGTCATTATCAAAAAATGCAGTGAACAGATTTAGAAAATTTTAGGTTGATGAGTCTGCCATTGGAAAGAAAATAAATCTACATTAAGATGTTGTAGACTGAGAAGTTATTGCAAGGAGCCAGAATCAGAGAATCCTGACACACTAACCTCTTTTCTTCAACAGAACTATCAAACTTGGGAAACAGTAGCAAAAGGCTGTATCTGGAGTGGTAGGTGAAATCTGACAGGATTTTTCATGACAGTCCTGTGGAAACATGGTGTGGGTACCATAACAATTAGGTAGATTTGTAATCATAGGAATAACTGCACCAATGTTATCACATGGACATCTGTTCCCTTTCCACTCCAAACCCACTTCCTTTCTGTTGCAACTGAAGAATTTTCCCTTTGCTATCTGATGCCAGCCCCTCCACAAGTATTCTGGACACAGCCTCCTGCCTTCCCAAAGGCCTGACTCAGTTTCCTCTTCTCTATGCTGACTTCCACCAGATCATTTCCATCCATTTCAAATATGGCTTACCATCATCCATCCATCTTTCCCCCTCCCTGGCCCCTACAGTTTCTGCCCAATTCTCAGCACCTCCCCAACCCTCACCTCTCAAATCACTTCCGTTCCTATCACTGCTAAAACGGGCCAAATTCAGTCACTTTTCTGTCCTCATTTTACTATTAGGTTCCAAACTTGCCTTCAGGAAACCAGAACAGAACAAAAGACAAAAGTATGGGGAAAAAAGACATCCGACTTGCAGCAAAAGAAACTTTAAAAAAGATTTTATTAACATTAAGTTTAGAGCTACAAACTTAGAAGGCAGAACAGAATACATTCTCTCCTGTTGTACTGATGGTACCGCACTCGGGTTCAGCTCTGAGGATGAAATCCCACAAAACAGGACTTTTAAACTATCATTACTGCTGGTTCCTCTGGAATACATGACTGTATGAAGGCTCACCTGGCAAAGAGCCAGGTCATTTCTTGAATGAACACAGCTTTAAAAATTTCATCTAAACTCAAGACTAAACAAACATGATTGGCAGTCGAACCACAATTATAACCTGATAGCTAGTGAGCTAGACAACATGCCCGAATTTAAATCCAAGCTTTCTGACTCGAGTTAAATCCAGATTTTCTGACTCACAGTTTAGAGTATTCAAATATGTTTGTGAAAGTCCAAAAACCATAGTGTCACCAAGCCACCACTTTACTCTGGTGAAGGGCTGCCAGACTCTGGAGTGCGCTGGAAAAGAGCTTCAGTTCCTACCCTACCAGACTCTGAAAGATATTAAGTGGAAAGGGACTCATGCTAAGCTATCATGAGACTCCGGGCTAGAACCACACTCCTGCTTCTGCGGGTTTTAATTTCCTCCGTTTGCACATTGCCCTCCTCTGGAGGGCATCTCCCTTCACCTGAAGGGCCCAAGGCCAAGTTCTAATCTGGTCGAGAGGCTGGCGTCCTTCCTAACAGCAGCCCAGGGGACACACCGAGCCAAATCCAGTGCTTACCTAATAGTTCCTGCCCGCCAGGGGCTATCAAAGTCGCGCCACCCCCCCGCTTCCGGAACATACCCCCCACCCCGCGGAGATCCAGTGGAGGTCGAGAAGGCCGTCGGCCATGAACGCAAGGCAAAAAACACTCCCGTCCGCCGCCCCAGGCTCCGGCTTACCCGCGTGTGACATAGGAGCGGTGAGGTTCCCGTGGCGCTCCTCGTTGTAAACCACCACGGCCGAGGCGTTCTGCCGCGCCGCCACCAACACCTTGTCCTTGAAGTTGCAGCCCCCGCGCGCCACCAGGGCGACCCAGGGCGCGGTCCCCCCGCCGCCGGGCGGGGGCACGAAGAAGCGCGTGTCAGGCGAGCAGCCCTCGGGGTCGTGGTCCGCCGCGCGCGGGACGCCCACTAGGCCCTGCGCGCCCTCCTTGGGAGAGCTGTCGCCGAAGCGGCCGCTCTCTGCGACGCTCCACACAGTCTGGTTCGTGCGCGGGTCCCTGTACTCCGTGCTCACCACGGCCGAGTACCACTCGAGCGCCCGGCCCCGGGCCCCGGGTGCGCACAGGGCCAACGCCAGCAACACCAGCGCGCCGCGCGGCCCGCAGCCGGCCTCGGGCCGCCACCGCCGCGCCACATGCCCGCCGCCGGGCTCACGAGGAGGTGGGCGGGACAGGGGCTGGGCGATTCCCAGGTGCCAGAGGACACGCGCGTTGTGAGGACGCCGAGGAGCGCGCAGAAGCGAGCCCGGCCACCGAGCCCGGGAAAAGCAAGACGGGCGGTGGGCGGGGCCACGGCGCACGCGCACCTGGCGGAGCGGAGGGGCGGGATGACTGGAGGGACTGGGCTCCGGGCCCCTCCCCC